AGAGAGAGAGAGAGAGAGAGAGAGAGAGAGAGAGAGAGAGAGAGAGAGGGATTGTGAGGAGGTAGGTGGTTTGGTGGGAATGAAGGATGCTGCATGGATGGTGAGCTTTTGACATCGAGCATGAGGGGGATCCTTGGGAGGCTCATAGAGGAAGGTGACGATGAGGTGGTCTTGGGGGAATGCAGGTATCGAGGTGTTGGTCTTGGGGCCAACAAGTAGAGACGCAAGCAGGCTAGGAACATATATGATATTAAAAATACGATATCAGATTTTTGAAACTACTGAAGTGGACAAAGCCAGAATAGAAAAGGTAGCTGCGAGTTTCGCAATCAAGATACGAGCGTTACACACACACACACATGCAGTTTCCTGCACACACACGCACACACACACGCACACACCCACCCACGCGCGCGTGTTCTTGTCAGGAGTTGGATCGACAGTCTGCTAGGATTGCAGGGTCATTGTCGTTGTGAGTAAAGTCGACCACTTTTCTCTCTCAAGGATGGGTGTCGCTAACTCTCTCAAGGATGGGTGTCGATAACTCTCTCAAGGATAGGTGTCGTTGTGAGTAAAGGCGATGCGGTGAGTCCTTATCTGTCAGTCAAATACATCCTGCGCAGACTGTGGGGATTCGACGTCCTGATGAGACGTCAAAAGTCCGACGAAACAGTCTGGCACAGTCATGTTCCTCCCTCCTCCCCCCCTCCTCCTCCCTTGGCATGGTGTATAGCGAGCATGAAAATACACACGCAATAGAGGTAAAGCTGCGTCGATTTTGGATCTACTCATCTGGGTGGAAGGAACAGGTGCTGATGTAGTGTGAAAATCTAAAACACACAGAGCATGGTCTTATTCAAGAGTTACAACGAGTTAAGTGGTCTTTTCCTTAACACACTCTCGTGTTTCAGATTAGAAAGTGCTGTTGCTTTCGTTAATACCAAGCGAAATAGGTGTTGGGCTGCTATGTGGTGATGGCTGTGTCATGACCTCTCTCTCCTTTGTTTCCTGTTGCTGCCTGTTTCTGTTTTTTTATCAAAAAACAGAATGGCATTCCTGTCTACTGCCCAGCTCTGACAGATGGATCGCTAGGAGACATGATCTACTTCCATTCATTCAAGAATCCTGGACTTGTTATTGACATTGTCGAAGGTATCTGTCCAAGGTCACAAGTCATTCCACTCTCTCTCTCTCTCTCTCTCTCTCTCTCTCTCTCTCTCTCTCTCTCTCTCTCTCTCTCTCTCTCTCTCTCTCTCTCTCTCTCTCTCTCTC